GACTTTTTTAGCTCGCATTTCTATTTCTCTGTCTAAGGACCCGTTTTCAGAAAAAGTGCTTCCAAGATATTTAAACTCCTTCACCTGTTTCAGTTGTTTACTATTGACATGGATGTTCAGGATACTATGGTTTCGGCTCACTTTCATAACTTCTGTTTTTGATGTGCTTATTTTCGTGTTGAATTTCTCACAACTGTTGTTGAGTTCGGTAGTGTGATTTTGGAGGCTTTGTTGGTTATGATGAATAAGACTTTGGTCTTCTGCGATCAGACATTCATTTAGGCTTTCTGGGCTTTGGTTTACGTCTTGCGTTATTGTGACCATATATATTATAAACAGAAGGGGAGATAGAACGCATCCCTGTCGTAGTCCAGATCTTACTTTGAACCAGTCTGTATTGCCTCTCTTCGTTCTAATTGAGCTTCTGCTGTTGGTATATACAGAGCTCTGACATTATCTAACATTTGCCCTCTGACGCCATACTTTTCGAGTGTCTTCCAGAGTTTTGCATGGTTTACTCTGTCAACGGCCTTCTCCTGGTCTATAAAGACGATGTTGGATTCTTTCTTGTGTTCGATTGTTTTCTCGCATATCTGTCGTAATGCGAATAGAGCATCGAGCATCCTCTTCCCTTTCGGAATCCAAACTGAGCTTTGCTCAGATTTCTCTCTACAATATGTCTTATGCGCTGCTCTAGTATCTTGGTGTATATGTTCCCAGAATGGCTTAACGAGGAGATGCCCCTGTATGTTGTGCAGTCGCGTCTGATGCCTTTTTTCCCATAATGGTACCACTATGGCTTTCTGACAGTCTTCTGGGCTTTTTCTTTGCTCCCAGGCTCTGTTGAATTTCGCCTCAGCCACAGTATACCGGTGTTTCCGCAAGCTCTTATGGCTTCCGCTGAGATGTCATCTGGTCCTGGGGCTTTGTTCTTAGGACTGGTCTTGAGTGCCTTTTCTATTTTCCTTAACATCACTAGACGAGACCGGCAGAGAAATGAAGAAGTAAGAGCAGCTATCGGCACTGAGTCCTGCCTGCGTTACATAGAAAGATAGAGGATAAGATGGTTTGGCCACCTATTACGCATGTCATCTGGCCAGCCAGCCTAGTCACTCAGGTTATAAAGGAAGAGGAAGGCCACATAACAGGTGGATCGAGGGTGTCAAGGAAACCCTAAGAAAACATAACATCACAACTGAAAGAGCTGCGGAGCTGGCCCACCATAAAAAACTGCATCTCCCCATGACGTTTAACGGCAACAGAGGATGAAAAAGTAAAAAAATAAGCAAGATCCGAGGAATTGACCAAAAAGATAAAATTATAAAAGGACGAAAAATCTCGGAAGTCCCATGTGCAAGTTGTGTACGTTAAAGATCCATTGGTGACCCAAAATCGGTAAGTGTAGGTTTCGGCCTCCACCAGGGCAAAATTCAAAATATTAATTTCTACTCAAATCTCAAAATGTTTAATATGTCCTGCGCGCTCCTATCACATTATGCGGTTGAAAATGGTGAAACGGCATAGGTTTAACGCCCCTATCAACACTGTATGGTTATTTATGTGGTTGGACTTCCGAGTTTAACATCCATCTCCGAAAGTGCCGAGCCAAGTGGAAAATTCGTGTTAGATCTAGGGGTTCTTACACACGTACGTTCCAACCGGGCGGTTTTAACTGGAGTGGGAGCCGGCGTTTGAACCGCTGCGCAAAACCGCCATTTGATGGGTCGGCGCGTCATCCACATCACGTATGGTTTAACCGCAGCGAGTATACTGACATTGACGATTTGCTTTCATTTTATGTGTTGCTCGTGGCGAACAAAAGCAAAAAACCCTAACGTCGACGACCTCGCAATATCCCTAAATGTGTCCATTATTTTCTAAAATTATTATAGCTTATAAAATGATATTCTATATGAGCGTATTAACACTTCATCTCTCATTATTTATCTTGTTTTGATTCTATTTTCTTAAAAATGATAATAATTACTCAATTTGTGTGAGTGGCACAAAACACTCCAAAATTCTATTGTTTTGTGATGTACCCCAAGGTTCTGTCCTGGGTCCTTTACTATACACTCTGTACACACAGCTTTTATAACGTTAAGGAAATATTTATTTTAAGAGCCCATGGCAAGGCATAAACTGTCACTGTCATAATATGCTGATGATGCACCGCTGATTTTGTCCTGTCCAGAGTCTTAAGTAATCAGCTTAGTAACCTGCCTGAGTTGTTGTAGGCTACCTGTCCCCGTCGTTTTATGCAAGAAAAATTATGAAATTATGCAAACTGGGCCCAAAAATGAGAAAATATGCGATTCTGTTAATTTTAACAAAGAAAGATAAAGAAAAATAATCAGAAATTATGCAAAAAATGATCAGATTTTGCTAAATTATGCGGGGTGCATAAAACCACGGGGACAGTTGTACTGAAAATGTTGAAAAATGGATGGTTCACAACAAACTATAGAGGAACGAGGAGAAGATAGCATTATTACTGTGTAACACCATAAGAAAGTTTGAACTCAACAGTGGGCTTATAGATAATATCAGGATAGATTTTGAAATTGTAATTTTATATTGAGAAGGGGGAAACAATCACAACAAAACAAGCAAACCTGGCATTTATTTTGATCATGAATTGTCAATGGAACACCAAATCATTCGCCATATTAGCCTGAAGGTGAGCTATGCAAAAAGATTGTGAATTAAGGACAATAGGTAAAATCTCTCACCTCTTGAGAATGTGACAATGATTATGTGAGGACGGTCTGAAAGTTGTGTGTGTTTGTGTGTGTGTGTGTGTGTGTGTGTGTGTGTGTGTGTGTGTGTGTGTGTGTGGTGTTGATGGTGGTGTTATGTGGTCTCACAATGTGCCTTTTCTGTCCTTTGGTTGGTTAGTTACGTTGATGATCATGCATTGTAAAGCGCTTTTAGTGATTAGACGCTAGATAAATTCCCATAACAATGATTATTACTTTCATTATTATTATTACTATTATTATTATTGTTATTATTGTTGTTGTTATTATTTTTATTATTATTATTATTATTATTATTTAAAAAATAAAAGATAATATTTAGAAGAAGAAGAAGAAGAAGAAGAAGAAGAAGAAGAAGAAGAAGAAGAAGAAGAAGAAGAAGAAGAAGAAGAAGAAGAAGAAGAATTATATTAATAATAGTGGTAATGATAATGATAATAATAAATAGCAGTTATAACTAATAATGGTGATGGTCAGAGGCGAAGCGTCTATATAATCAAATAATCACTGCTTCCCTTCCTAATTTTTAAACATTGTCGCAGTCAAATTCACCCTCAGACGTAAACCTCATAAATTAAATGTAAAAAGACGTTCATAATCACCAATGAAGACTAGACTATGCCTAACCTTCAAAACCGTTTCATTGCCACAGAAATAGCCTGTTCGCCCCTATCGGGCCACTCCAAAAGCAGTCACAAGCTTTGATTAAGTAAGCTTAAAGTGAGGCTGGAAGAGTCAACCAATAGAGTTAAAGGGAACATGTGCATAGCAGTCAGAACTGTTTCATTGTCGCATATACCCTGTTCACCCCTTTCGGGCCACAGTTATAAGCACCCAGACGCGCTGATTAGGTAAGCGAACTATTACACTGGTCGAGTCTACCTCACAGATGTGAGGGAAACTAACTCCTAATAATCCTTTGACTCCTGCTACTACACTGCTGAGTGCTTGTTTTTTTTCCTAGACTTTTTAACGTCCTATAATCAGATCGTGACCTCGATTATGACACCGGCTCCTGGCCGCGAAAAGCTAGATCTAGACAAAAAACAGCCAAATGTGAAATAAAATATTAATAATTGGCATGCTCTACCCAAGTGTTTCGGCTGTCTGGTATAACATGCCATTGTAGTGCTGACATCTCTGCTTCTTTCCTTGGTGTTCGTGTGTTCAAATCTAAAGTTAAATTTAAGGTTAGTTAGAATAAATATTTAATGAAATACTTTCCCGATTATTTTAGCGGTTGAACAAGCATACAACATGAATTCAGGATTTGTTTTCATTCACAACTCAGAGTTGCCGCCTCCAGTGCCAGTAAGAGTCTTGTGACTTGTGTGAGTGTGATATCTCCAGGCCCTATCTGGTTCCATTTCACTTTGATTACCCTGTCAAACAAGTCAGCCTTCGCCCCTGGTGATGGTCATCGTCAGATCTAACATGTACCCAGGGGCGAAGCGTCTATATAATCAAATAATCACTGCTTCCCTTTCTAATTTTGAAACATTGTCGCTGTCAAATTCATCCTTAAACGTAAACCTCATAAATTAAATGTCAAAAGACGTTCGTAATCAACAAATAAAGTGAGGCTGGAATAGAGTTGAAGGGAACATGTGCATGGCAGTCAAAGCTGTTTCATTGCCACATATACCCTGTTCACCCCTTTGGGGCCACAGTTAAAATCAATCACCAGCCCTGATTAAGTAAGCTAACTAACACTGGTCGAGTCTACCTCACAAATGTGAGGGGAACTAACTCTTAATAATCTCTTGACTGCTGCTTGTGCTTGTTTTTTTTCCTCGACTTTTTACCGTCCTATAATCAGATCGTGACCTCGATTATGACACCAGCTCCTAGCCGCGAAAGGCTAACAAAAACAGCCAAATGTGAAATTTAAAAAATAATAATTGTTATTTTCTACCAAAGAGTTAGACTCACTGGTAGATCTATAACATATAGATCTAGTACTGACATCTCTGCTTCTTTGCTTTATGTTTATGTATTCACATCTAAAGTTAAGTTTAATTTTAGTGGGAACTGATATTTAATAAGATACTTTCCCGATTATTTTGGCGGTTGAACATACAATATGAATTCCGGATTTGTTTTCATTCACAACTCAGAGTCGCCGCCTCGAGTAAGATTCTTGTGTGATATCTACAGGCCCTATCTGGTCCCATTTCACTTTGATTACCCTGTCAAACAAGTCAGCCTTCGTCCCTGCATGTACCTTATTTTTCCTTCTTTTCTTTTTTTGTATACAGGTAATCTTAACTTTGAAAGTAAAAATTTTCGAGCCTTGTGTGACCCCGATGGACCAACGCCATGCTGCTTCGAGTACAAGTGTGTCAATAAAACTGTAGGCCAATGTAACTGCAGCACTTGTTTTGATCTGAGGCGGGAAATACACGCCGACTTCGGCTCTTATGAGTTAAAGGATCCGGCATGCAAGGTGAACATTATTATTTTGGTTTTCGACTTGTGATGTGTGTTTTGTACTAGCTGAATTTTCGATATAAACGAGGGTGAATCAAATCGCAGTGGAAATTGTGAAATACCGGGAAAAGTTGTGAATTTAAAAAAAAACATTTAAAGGGCAATAACTAGGTCATCTTTAAACCAATTTTAACGAAACTTAGAACATATAAAAAAAAACCAGCTAGTAAGACATATCAATTGTTAATATGAAAAAATCAACTTGCGTGTTCGAAAATTATCAAGTTAAAAAAAACTTCAACCATAAATGGGTGAAACGCAAAATGTTTCAACTTCTTAAAAATCAACCGAGTCGTTCTATTTCAAATAGCCACAATCTGTGCATTGAAAAATAAATCTTTACTGAATTCAGAAGGTCAAATGAACGCAGGGAAGGTTGTCACTATTTAAATAATATTATGCTCAAAGTGTTGCCCACTTCTCTCCATATCAGCTGCTCCAACACGCCACTGCCTTACGGCAAGTTTCTGGGTCGATTCTTTGGACCTCCTGTTGAACACTGATTATCAACTATTGTAAGTTGTTTTCGTAGACCCCATCTGTTAAAAATCCTAAAAGGAAATATTTGAAGGGATTCAAGTTGGCAGAATACGACGCTTTCGGCTTATAACCTTTCTTGCAACAATGCAAGGGCCACTTTTGAGGTGTTGGGTGCGGCTCCATCTCGCTGGGACCAGGCCTCATCAACAGCATAGCAGCTTCTCCTTCCTAAACTTCTCCTTAACCTTTTTAGTACGGCGACATACCCATCTCATGTGATTGTCTTACCGTTCTAGTCTTGAAACGAGAACAGGCCGATCACGCCCCTGTGGCTGGATATTTTTATTAAGTAATGTTTTCCGTTTTACCCTCATTTTTCTTGAATTTTTAAAAACTTTATATTTCTCAAACATATAGATTTATTTTCTTCATATCTACGGACTGGGTGTCAACTTGGTTGAATTTAATTAGTTTGAAATATTTGTTGAAATCAATGCAGAGATGACCAAGGTATTGACTTTTAAATGGGTCCTCTTTTTTTCCGACTTTTAGTGAGGCGCCAAGTTAAATGTAAAAGGGGGTGTTTTCTGTTACGAGCTCAATCTTGTGTCATTCAGAGCGTAAACTATCTTTTGTTCATGACGCCATAGAATAAATCAAAAGGGAAATCAAATGAAACTCCAGTGGTTGTAGACATGTTATAGATTAATTATGTGGATTGCTTTAATAACACAAGTCAATATTGCTAGATGGCCTTGATCTAAAAAGGAAAAAGGTGGTTTATTACATTATGTTTTTTTTATTTTGTAACAATAAAGATCACTAACTCTATCGTTGAAAGTGAAATGCTGGAAGCTGAAGACAGTTCCATTTTCTGGGGCTCAGCTATAAGATTTGAACATCAGAATTAGGAAAGCCTTCAGGACTAAGAGTAATCTGCCGAGGACAAAATAGTCTTATATGAATCTCATATTCAAGACCACGGTGAAAATTTATCAGCGATACGTTCTGAGCACAATGTGAGTGGTAGCTGGACAACATCAAGAGAATATTTTGGTGAGACTTAGAATCGGCTTCAATGGTCTTATCTTTTGGAATAAATAAAGAGTATCTTTTTTTCGTTTCGTCGTTTGAAATCATGAATGGGATCGGTCCACCATCACATTTCAATCACCCAAGATTTCAAAGGAATACTCGTGGGACTGCAGGACAGGAGAACCAGCACAGCGGAATATTCAAAATTCAAAAAGGAAGAAAAGGGCACAGTAGCAGCAACTGAATAGAAGGCAATACCGGGAAAGCCACAAGACAGAAACTGAATAAAGGCTGAGTATTTCCTAGAAAGCAGCTAAAAATCACAATAGGTGAACAGAAACAAAGAAAGAATTTATTGTTAGAGGTGAACAGGGCGTTTTGTCGTTTGAAATCATGAATGGGCTCTAGATCTATATAGTACTGCTATTCAAGTAAATATCTATCTATACGTGTTTTTGTCGAGTGAGCAGAATGCAATATCTAAAATTGTTTCATCTTTTTTTAGTGTTCTCTTACCACACGAAGCCATACTTCATTCACAGTAGGCTATAATTTAATGACTTGCATGTGTAATGTTATACAATGATTATGTTCTGATAATATGAGATCTATAGTGCGGTCAAAAATTCGTGGCGCAACCTATTGCCAAATGTTTCCCAAACTATCAAACATAGACTCTCTAGCTTTTGCACAATGACTTGTATCAATTTGTCTTAACAGATCAATATTTTGGTAAACCCCTATTAGTTGTATTCTAGAAAAATTCCTTAATAAATCCTAATTTTTAAAAATCAAACGGGCGGTTTCTACAAATTTTTAAAAGGTTTACTGCTGGGACATTTTCTCTTTTAAAAACAAGTCTGTCACGTTTTTCTAATAGCGACATTATGCTTAGTGAACACATGTTTTGAGAACCTTTTGTACAAAAAAAAAAACTTTCAATATAAAATAAATTTCTCGTAACAAGTTCACTTAAAAGTGTCGTTGGTCAGCTGTGACGTAGGCCATATTATTATACGTGTGCAAATTGTGTGTGAGAAGCGGGAAGTGCTGTGAACAATCCCATTTTCGGCATGACAGAGATTTGTAGTATTTTACATAAATTTCGTGGACATCGGCCTACGGTTAAGAGCTTGGAGAGGGATGGGCACCGCCAAGCTTCTCTGCCCAAGACTCACCACATGAAATGATTAACAGCTCAGACACTATACCGGATCGGTCGTCGCCCGGGTCACCAAGGACCGCGCCTTCCGCTGTTGTGCACTAGAACGGAGGTGAAAAGCATGCTACTGATGCACAGAAGATCCGAGCCAGAAACAAATTCTCCATTGACACATGGAACGTACGGACACTGAGAACAGACGGAAAACTAGAAGAGCCTCTGGAAGACCACGAAGGAACAATCAGTATTGGAAGCAGGACAATTACTAACTTGCGTTTTGCCGATGACATCGATGGATTAGCAGGAAAAGAACAGGAGCTCGCCACACTAGTGGAGTGGCTGGACTCAACCTCAGCAG